GCTGGCGCTACTTTTTGAAGTGAAACATCTAATACCCTGAAGCTCTGCCATACTTCTTTGTATTCAGGTGGCTTTCAGTGATAACTGTTACTGCCTGGTTTCTCTAAGAGAAGCCGCCGCTAAAGTATTTGTCTCAAGATAACTTCAGACCGCCAGTCAGTTTTCTCTTGCCCTTAATTATTCCGGTTCTCGATCTTTCACCTTTATGGCTGTGCATTTCTTTAAGGTGATGACTGTCTCTCTCCAGGGCTCGGCTGCGGTCTCAATCTTCTACCTATAAATAATTACTATGAAGCAAGGCTGACAGCAAACATCAGCAATACGTTATGATCTATCATTTATATGTGTAACTTTTATTTCTATAAACCACAATGAACTGCTATCAAAACACGTAAAAATCATAGCAAACTTGTCAGACGTTATGATGAAGCTTCATGTGAGAGATGTTTTCTAGACAGAGTACTGACAGAAGCAATCAGCGGCAGTTTCTGCTGTAAAACTGTGCCTGAGGCGGGAACTCGCAGAGAGCTGCGTTACAGCTGAGCCCTGAAGGTGCCGGTGAAGAATGGTTAGACGCAGAGAACCGGGAAGAAATCGCTCGGACCACAGTAGAGAGAACAAGGAGGTCAATCTGAAGTTGCCCAGGCAGAGTGTCACATTTAGTGGATGGTGAGTTATGGAAGGCCCCAACACGTCGGGGGCAGCTTCCTGATCAAACGAGGCTTTTTTAAAACCTGGATGGGAAGACGGGTGAGTAAGGAGCTAGAAGCAGGAAAAACTGAGAAGCGGTCATGTGGTAGCTATTAAATACAAGAATATAAATGAATAACCCAAACTAAAATCCACTCTTCACCATCTGTAAGGTCAAGGCTGGACTGTGGTAAAGCTGGAAATCCTTCATCAGTAGGGAAGGTAATCATGACACCACTACACACTAATGTTTGCTGGTATTTTCTGCATCCCCAACATCTTCTCCTGCACACTTACCATGCAGCACACATCAGCAGCATGTTCCCAAAAGGATCCTTAAAGACCAAGTTCACTTGTTTTTTTTAATACATTTTTTTTCGGTAAGTAAAATTATATTTATGTATTTTAGGTCACTGCCGAGCTGAGCTTAGATTTTAACATGTACTGTTTAACCATGAAATTTAAATGTAATAGGGTAAAACCCAGTGCATTTAACATAATGCTGCACTTTAGAAAATGGGTTGAAATATAACATGTTGGTGGAGCTGGGTTCCGACTATCGGCTTGTGGAGCTCTCGGGAGATCGATGTTTTCCACCCGCTCTCCCCTCCCTGTGTCTCTGACTCAGAAGCTCTGGTGTTGTGCACAGTTAACTCCGGTTGTAGCTAGGTTGCTACCTCCGTTAGCTTAGCTCCCACCTTCGCGTTAGCTTTGGGTTAGCTTCAGGTTAGCTTGCAGCTAGTTCGACCGGGTGTCGTCAGTTGATCCCAGCCTTACAGCCCCACCCTCAGCTCCACCTCTCTTTCCTTTTGCGGAATTGTCTGGGCTTGACGGAACCTGTGACACGGTCAAAATGGCAGTGGTGGCCACCTCCCATTTCTCCTCAAAAACGTGTTATTGGAGCCTATGGAAACCCA